CTGTTTTCTTTTTGAATTTATAGGTCTGATGAATTGGATCGTATTTATGATTTTAATGGAATAAATTATGACCATGGAATATTAGTGTTTAAGCCTTTTTATTATATCCTTACTCTGTCCTGGACATTGGGTTCTACCTGGATTCTATCCTCTTGGAATTATTTTTTATACAAATATATATGTATGTGTATGTATGTATATATATATATATATATATTTATATATTTTAGATATATGATTGCATATGTATGTATATATTTACCACTAATATTATCTATCTATCTATCTATCTATCTATATATATATATATATATATATATATATATATATATATATGAGTTGGGATCATATATAGATCGGAATCCGACAGAAAGATAAGATAAAGAACAAATAGCGAACGTTTTTGAAGTAGTTTTTGATCTTTATCCTACATTCTGTCAGATTCCGATCCATATTTGACTTATATTGGAACCCAACTCATCTTGTCTGAACCTGGAAACTACTTCAAAAAGAGATTGATAAACGTTTCATATTTGTTCTTTATCTTAACATATATATACCGGGCGTAACAACAAAATTGTCCAAATCGTGTAGCAGCATAATTATCTATCCCACAATATGTTTAATATCAGAAAACCACTCAACTGAATTTAGTCATCTTGATACCATTTGTCATAAGAATCACTGAAATGTCCTTTGAGTTATTCAGCTAGAAAGAGAACAGGTTAAAATCGTTTTGTGTTAGCCTCACTGTCTTCTCAACTGAGCAATGGTGAGAGGAAAAGTAATTCAGGTACCAACATTCATACTCTGGATTTCATCTACAAAATTCATTCAAGAGAACGGTGAATAAGTTTAAAAAAGAGTGAACAGTAGAGAGGAAAACTGGATCAAGAGGTTATAACAGAAAAATGGACCATCATTTCAAATTAGAGCCAGAGAGATCAATTAGAAAAGATCCATCTCAATCGATAAGAGGTTTAGCACTTGGGAGAGTAGTTTCAGTCACGATAATCCAAAGAGCAGTGGAAAAAGACTTCAAAATGAAATCGTATGTGAAACGTATGAGGACCTTATTACTCCAGGACAGAAGGTTAGAAACTCCGAGAGGGCGAAGATCAACTTGAATAAGTTGGAAAATGAGCCTGGAATAATATATATATATATATTTGAACTTAATAAGCTTCCTATCCTTAGATATGATTAATTAGTGATGAACATAACATTTATGATCGATTTCATTACGATTATTCTGTTAAGCTTGGAGAGTAATTATAAACTCGAAATAGTTCTAAGTAGAGTCCAATAGTGTTATAAAAAAAACTTCGGAGAATTCCAGTAAGATATCTTTAATCATTTCTCAGATACAACGGTTCAGAGCTTAATCTAACAATTGGATAATTTTGCTGTTACACGATTTGGACAATTTTCCTGTTAAGGTAGTTACATCTCAGAGATTGAAAGTACTTTGGTAGGAAAAAACTACGGCGCCCTCCTTGATGAATTTCATCTTAACATCAACATACTGATTAGAGAACAAGAAATGATTATTATAAAAATAAATAGGCATGATATGTCTATATTATTCACTGAAACATGTTTGAATGAAGATATTTTTGAATGAAGATATGTGTGTGTGTAATGGGGGGGTTCTTAATTACTACAAACGTTTAGTGCTTACTTGTGTTTGATTAGACATTCCAGATTTTTCACACAGTGGCATAAATGACTGTCAGCTTGGAGACGGAAAGTCGAGTAAATGAAAATGTACCTCTTACAAGTAACGAACCTGCATTCTCTTATCATGTAAATGTAAAAGAACGAAAAGAATATAAATTCAAACGTTTATAACATTAATTTTAAAAAAAAGGGTTCAGTGATACAAGAGTAGAGCAATAAATAATTATTATAAACTGTTACATTGGAACATGCAAGATATCGCGACAAAAATAGATAAAGACGTCTGGTCAAGTGGTTAACGATCTTTAACCATTTGACCAGATATCAGTTTGTTTCGACGTCTTTAGACGTGCATTTTTGCTGTGGTAACTATATATATATATATATATATATATATATATATAATTATTTATTTAAAAATATGATTCCAACACGCTGCATAAGAGGTCTCATGTTTCAAAACAAGATCCGAAAAGTTCAATATAATTATTTGAATTAAATTGAATTAAAGTAAGCTCTGTTCCATTTTCGAGCGAAATTTTTTTTGGAATAACTTAATTCAATTCAAATAATTATATTGAAGTTTTCGGCTCTTGTTGGAATCATATTTTTAAATAAATAATTATATTTATGCTCTACTTTTGTATCGAGCACTATTTTTTAAAAATAATAACAAAAATACTAAAGAACTTTGGATTATTTTCCTAACGAGTTCTTTCCTATTTTCTATATATTTTCACACACACACACACACACACACACACACATATATATATATGATTTTGGGTGTGTGTGAATAAGGTTTAAGTCTCTTGGCAAATATATATTTATAGTGAAAAATTATTAATCTTATTCATCATTAACACTTATTTATGCATCTGTTTGTATCATTCGAAGAAAGCATAACGTATTCGCGCTAAAATATCCGTCAAGAATGTTATTATTATTATTATTATTATTGGAATATTATTATTTGCTTTGAGTGGCAGAAACAAAACTGCTTATTATGACGATGATGATGATGATGATGATGATGATGAACCCCCCCCTACACACACACAAAAAATACAATTCTTCTCGTATGTTGTGAATTCAAGTGTGACTTGACAGAAAAATGTAGGCCAAATCCTAATATGAATGCAATTGTCTTAAAAAAGGAAAAGAAAAAAATACTTGTCACAGAAACCTTATTTGAAAACGAGGAATAATTAAAACGCGTCCCCGCTTTGAAGAGAATGGTTAGTGATACGAAGAAAACGTCACAGGAAGCATATTCAATTTGGGAAAGAGAGATGCTGAAGTCAGAGAAAAACATCGCTGTCTTGTGCGATATTCAACAATTCCATTCATAACTAAATAATGAAGGAAAAAATTAAATTGATGGAATCGACTTTTATTTTTCTTTTATTTAGCAAACATCAATCCAATCTTCAAGTGAACGGCATGTGCTGTCATTTAACGACCATATAAGTTCATTCCTGAACAGCTGCACTAATTGTCAATTATACTGTACTTAGGAGGCCGCATAATACTTTGCCATAATACAATTTTGTACGCACATTAATTTTCTCTACAAGGCAGATGCCTTTATCAAACTAGCGGGAGGCTTTATATCTATCTATCTATCTATCTATCTATCTATCTATCTATCTATCTATCTATCTATCTATCTATCTTATACTCTGTTAATATCTAAGCCTGTTTATACACACACATATGCCAGTCGCTTCATATCTATCTCTTCATATCTATTTAACTATCTATCTATCTATCTATCTATCTATCTATCTATCTATCTATCTATCTATCTATCTATCTATCTATCTTCTATTCTGTTAATATCTAAGCTTCTTAATACACATATATATGTCAGTCGCTTCATATCTATCTATCTATCTATCTATCTATCTATCTATCTATCTATCTATCTATCTATCTATCTTCTATTCTGTTAATATCTAAGCTTCTTAATACACATATATATGTCAGTCGCTTCATATCTATCTATCTATCTATCTATCTATCTATCTATCTATCTATCTATCTATCTATCTATCTATATGCATCTATAAATACATACATACATACCTGTATGCATTACGTACGTACACTTAGAAACCTATGTATATGGTATATAGAGATGAGTATTTATGAGGAGGCATCCCCCACGGCACACAATCATGTTCATGTCATTGTAAAGAGACACGAATCCATTACTGTCATAAATTAAGGAACGCTTTATTTCTTGCGTGTCTTTTGTAAATTTTCTATTTTGTACTCTTTGAGAAACAAGCCATAAAAATATTCATCAATGATAGATAGATATATATGTAGATATTAATTAACAAGGTTGAAATAGATAGATAGATTGATAGATAGATAGATGTGAAATAACTGAGATAATGTGCGTATGTGTATTCGTGTGCGTGTATAAATATGCTTAGATATTAAGTGTGATAGATAGATAGATAGATAGATAGATAGATATGAAGACATAGATATATAGAGATGAACAGACTGTGATAGATAGATAGATATGAACAGACTGATAGATGTATAGATAGCTGGATATAGATAGATAGATAGATAGATAGATAGATAGATAGATAGATAGATAGATAGATAGATACTATTCCGCTTTTTATACACTCATATTCTTAATTACATGCTTATATCTAAGCGTCCACATACACATAATGAAAGAAAGGAACAAATAAGTATCTTGAAGCACTGACGATCGAAAAAAAAAATCAAATATTAAACTGAATTACTGCGAGAAATAATTTAGGCATCTCCAAAAGTAAAATGTACAACCATAAAACTTCTAAATCGACCAACAAAAATAAATGAATAAATAAACCTAATCAATGTCCATTTCTCAATTATTCTTGCCCTCAACCAATCACACAAAGACACGTGCTTATATACTAATTAAATATATTTTTTTTTAAAAGTTCGTCATTCCAGTAAAAGAACGCATGCGCGTTTCTACACTTTCCGGCAAAACTACAATGGCCGGTTTGAAGGCAGAAGTTGTGTTCATATGAGTGATTTGTTTTCGTTTTTTTTTACGGCTCATTTGCCGGTTATTTAAAGCCGGAAAATATTTTAGATTGTAAGAAATTTTTTTTTGAGATAATCATGATTTACTATTACAAGTTATACTAATTAATCCATAGCTGGGGGAGAAGGTGTGGATTCATACACTTCCCAACAGTATTTGCGCGTAAGTAAATATAACAAACCCGACAGAAATTGGAACTCGGCTCGCTGATTTCCAATTCCGAGCCGTTATCCATTACACCACTTGCACATCCAAGCTTACCGCACCTGGTGTGCCCAAATGGTCACCCATCTAGTTACTGACCAGGCTTGACGTTGCTTAATTTCGCTGATCATACGAGAACCGGTGTTTCAATGTGATACGGCCGTAAGTTCGTCCAGATTTTGAATGCTGATTTTTAATCAGGTGCTCTTCTCTCTCCTTCCACCATGAACAGATGATCTTATGCCAGACTAAGCTTAGCATAGTAAATATTTTGGAAATTTATCTCTAAGTGTTATATATATTTATAATTAATTCATCCCAAGCAAGGCGATAATGCCACTAAGACTCAAGTAAATATTTTCGATATGTATCTCGATAAATTAACATTCGTATTTATGCAACAAAAAGTAAAGGAAATATTAATATAATTATATATCCTTAATAATAAGTGTTATATATATTTTTTATTATTCATCCCTAGCAAGGCGATAATGCCACTAAGACGCAAGGAGCTATTGGGAGTGAAAGAGAATGAATATAATTAAGAAATAACCGGAAACCCAGTCTTAAACAAGAAACAAGGGATAAACCATATATTCCTGTTCAAAAGGCCGGAGAGGAGTGTGAACCGGACGATAGGCGAAACTATCTACTCCTGTTGAGAAGAAAAAATAATTAGTAAATAAAATTTCGGAGTTCTGGCGGAGATGGTAGAAGGAAAAGAGTTGAAGTAGACTTTAAAAGAAGCGGGGAACCCAATACTAAGCAGGAAACAAGCGATAAAACTCTGATCCTGTTCAAAAGACCGGGGAGGAGTGTGAACCGGATGATAGGTAAACCTATCTACTCCTATTGAAGGGAAAAAATAAAAATAAATAGTAAATATAATCACAGTGTTTAGGCGGAAACGTTGCGTATAAGAGAATAGGGAAGAATAAAACAAGATAAAATGAAGAGCACTGAAATGGCGGTGGGAATCCAGGTGTGGGATTGATATCAAATATTTTGTTATTTGTCAATGATCTCTTTACTACTATGATGTCCAGCAGTCAAAAAAAAAAAAAATCTCTTAGTTTCTCGCTTCCGATACCGGAATATGCGAGCGAATCCATTGTCATGGTTCCGCTATTTTCATTTCTGCAATCGAGAGAAAATTCAGCCGACAACTATAACGCCAATTGGATAGCCAAGATTTCCGCTTATAAAAACGTGAACAAAGCCAACGAAAGATATAAAACAATTATCATTGTCATATTTAAGGTAACCAGGAACAATTTACTTTTTAGAAAAAAAAAAAACAAAATAAAAAAACCAAAAACCAAAACAAAAACGAGTTGTTACTGGTATGCGGTGGTAGAAAAGCTGAAATTGTAGGGAAACTGATCCACACAGATAATAATCATGGGGGTTACGATCTAGGGAGTTAAGTGGGTCAGATATAAGGGGTGGTGTGGTTGGAGAAATTGTCTGACAGACATGACTGGGTTCTCCTGCTTTTGTGACATGGTGCAGTCTGGTTGCAGGTTCCAGCAGCCACTCTCTTGACAAAGGGCATCACTACTTCCTCAAGGCACTTGATGGAGGCTTCTGTCTTGAGTCTGGCCTCTGTAGGAAAATGGATGGGAGGTATAACGTTACCAATCACTCGATGAATGTTAAAATCCTTTTTTTTTTTAAAATTAGAAGCTGTATAAGGTCTTAAATGCCCAAGTACTTTCAAACTGTACATTAATATATATATATATATATATATATATATATATATATATATATATATATATATATCGCAAATTGAGTGCAAGTACTTTCGACTGTACATTATATATATATATATATATATATATATATATATATCGGACATTGAGTGCAGGTGCTAATAAAATAGTACTCGTTGTAAAATAACGGAGCTATAATTTATATATGAATAGTAAATATACATTTTTCCTCATCGGTGGCACAACTCTGAGCCTCATGCACAAGGTGCAGATTGGTAACTGACTGTTACAAAATTTGTTATATATATTATAATATGTTATTTTTATATATATATATATATATATATATATATATATATATATATATATAATTATTTATTTAAAAAAATATGATTCCAAGAAAAACAGACCAGTTTAAGGCACCATTATAATAATTTATTTCACCAGAGTCCTTTTAAAGGACGCCGGATCATCAGATAGCACTTCAAAAAAAAATGAAATGAAAAGAAATTATTTCACCAGAGCCCTGCAGTCCTTCATAACTTAATTATATAATTATATATATATATATATATATATATATATATATATATATATATATATATATATATCGCACATTGAGTACTGGTTCTAATAAAATAGTACTCGTAAAATAACGGAGCTATAATTTATATATTAATAGTAAATATACATTTTCCTCATCGGTGGCACAACTCTGAGCTTCATTCACAAGGTGCAGATTGGTAACTGACCGTTACATAATTTAAAACTTGTTATATGCATTATAATGTTATTTTTAATATATATATATATATATATATATATATATATATATATATATATATATATATATTATATAATAATATCTTATTTGTTATATGTGCTATAATAATTATTATATCTATAGTTATTTAGATGTGCATATTTGTATTTGAATTCTAATTACATTTTTGTAGTTGTAGTATATATATATATATATATATATATATATATATATATATATATATATATAAATTTTCACTGTTTAAAATAACATTGATATCAATCCTAATCGTCGTAGCCACCAAATATCACATTTATACTGAGTAGAATTATTGTCGGATTAAAAAAAAATCTATTGATTGCTTTCTTTACTTTGACGTACGGAAATAAACTGAGTAGATATATATTTCGAACCATCTCAAAAAAGTTATGTATTTTTCAAATAGGTTAATTGATCCTCACTTAAGTCAACATGTCTTACCTTTGGCCTAATTAGTACTGCATACGTAGCTTAAAAATACTTTGTCTGATGGGAAAAATGTTCTGGATGTAATTCTTCTATTTGCCGTGTCCCTTCAGGACGTAGGCTATCATGGCACTCCACTTCTCTCTATCCCTTGTAGCTCTCAATAAGTTTTGTCACTCTGCCACCTCCCCCAGACCATGTTCTGTCAACCACTTGCCCGTCAGGTATGTCATGCGTTGTTTTCCGTTGTCTCGCTTTCTCTTTATTCGGCCTGTGAGTATCAGATTCTCCAAGCCCTCCTTTCTCATTACATCTCACAGAAATTTCATCTGCCTCTTCCTGATGTTAAGTATAAGCTTCTTCCTTGTTTTTTATCCTCTCCAAAACTTCATCGTTGCTCACACGCTCGGTCCATCCTTCTTCAGAACCATAGAGTCTCGAGTCTCTTCCTCATCTTTGATGAGACCTTCCAATATTCGCTGCCATAAAGGAGGACAGATGTCGCGTACTCTTCATTGTTACCAAAGAAAACCTCCTGTCTCGCAATACTCTGACCAGCTTTTGGAATTGGCCATCCCAATACGTTTTCGAATTTCAGCGTCGGATTTACCGTCAAAAAATTTCCCAGATATTTAAACTCCCGCACCTGCTTGATTTTAGTGTTCCCGGCAAATCGCGTTTCAGGCTCTTTTTTTTCTATGAAGATTGGCCTAATATACTGGTGATGATGTCTTCCTTCTGGTGTCTCCTTTACTTTTGAAGCCATTTTGTCTGTACTTCTAATTTGGACGCAGGATATTTTCAATGTTATTTCGAAAGGAAAAATCATATCTGTGACATTGTTCGTTGTAAAAATTCAGACATCTATAGCTGGGTTTCAAATCTTGAAATGAAGTTATATGCCAACTTCAAATCAACTTTTCATAAAATATGTCCTTTTCTTCCATGGAGAAGCCACTAAATAAGTAGCGACATTTTTATTTAGCCTTAGACTAAATATATTCGGAAAATTCCTTCTTATGATATGAATAATGGAAATGGTTTTTAACTCAGAACTTTTCTGAAGTTATTAATTTTCAAAAAATATTTCCCATTTCAAAATATTGAAAATAAAAATATGTGCGTCGTTCAAAACGACGGAGAATTTTGTTGGGCACTCAACTCTCGCAAGGCCCCAATTCGTTCTGTCTAAAAACGCGCGTATTTCTCGAGACACCCAAGAGGCACCGGCGCAGTAAAAAAACAAAAAAACAAAAACAAAAAAAAAAAACAGTAACATTCAAATCTAACCAATCAGAGGATGACATGGGCAAATAGTAACAGCAAATAACCGTTACTAAAAATAAATTTCTTTTACAAAAAAATAAAAAAATAATTAACATTTATTCCTATTTTTAAAAAGAAAATCTAATTTACACAACTTATTAAAAATAAAATATCAATCTGTTTTCAACGTATTTTTCTCAAATTATTTTCTCAAACTATTTTACTGGCTCCCTCTTTTTCTGCTTTGGAATTGCGGAAATTCAGGTGCTATGAATAATTAAGAGTGGTCTCCCTTTGTTTTGTTACTCTCCTCTTTGAGAGAGAGCTATTTCTGTTTACTGGGACTATAAACGGACACTATACGCGAACCTTGTATTCTCAGTTGAATAAAGCTTTCTTAAAGCGGACACCTGCGTACTTTTGTCATTACATCAGGCTCGGTTCCTGTCTGGAGGCACATTTTCTTTAGCAGAAATTTTCGATTTTTAGACCGGTTGACAGTATTGTCATTGTTTAAAAAAACGTATATCTACTCCTACACGTATACCCGTTTAATATAACGTTCATAATAATAGTAATAATAATAATAATTATAATAATAATAATGGGAAGGGATTCCTGGAAGTCCATGCCTCAAGGAGATACAAAAAATTGTTCTGACAATGAATCATCATTTCTAAGTTGATGTTTGAGTAAGCTCTTTGTGAGTTCGACGAGTATAAAATAACCGTGGAAATTCCCTTATTGAATCGTTAAATGTTTGAGTTTAGCATTTCTTCTTTTAAAATATCGCAATAACAATCATAAGTATGAATGCGCATCATTATTTATAAGAGGTAAAAGGCTCCAAATGAAAAGATTTGAAACTGAAAAGCTTTTCCACTTCTCTGAAACAGACGTTAAACACGTGACAGAGTTATTGCATTTTTCTGACTCAAACCAAATATCGCCAATTTGGGTACTTGGACGTGGTGTAATGGTCAGCGAGGCTATACAGCTAGATCGATTACTACTGAATAGTGAGTTCGATTCTTACTGGTTGCCTCATAAGTTCGGACTTGTACAACATCTAAAACTTCGCTTAGCAAATCACAAAAAATCGTCTGTGATATGTCTTTTTCCATCATTCTTCACGATCAAACGGAATATCATGGCGTTACGTACCTACTAAGAAATAAGTAGAAATATAACAGGAAAATTGTCCAAACCGTGCAACGACAAAATTGTTCAATTGTTACATTAAGTTTGAAACGTTGTATCTTAGAAATGATTAAAGATATAATACTGGAATTCGCCGAAGTTTTTATGACACTATTGGACTTTACTTTGAACAAAAGGAATGTATTTAGCTCTAAGTTGAAATAATGATGCCTCTTCCTGATGTGATCCAGTTTCCTCTACTGTTCCCTCTTTTTAAAACATATTCACCGTTCTCTTGATGGTTCTAGAATGGATTTTGAAGAATCGAAGCTATAGTATGAATGCTGTTACCATTAGTGAAGGCCTGATTTTTCCTCTCATCATTGCTCAGTTGAGAAGACAAGTGGAGCTGACACAAAACGATTTTAACCTGTTTTCTTTCTAGCTGAATAATTCAAAGGATTTTTTCAGTGATTCTTACCACAAATGGTGTCAAGATGACTAAACGTCTTATCTGAAAACCTGGGAAAAAAAGAAACTCAATTAGTTTAGTGTTTTTTTTTTCTTAGATATTAATCATTTTGTGGGATGGACAATTATCCCATGCTGTTACACGATTTGAACAATTTTGCTGTTACACCCGATATATATATATATATATATATATATATATATATATATATATATATATATATATATATATATATATACTTTGTATCGAACACTTTAAAAAAACAAAAGCTAAGGAATGGTGGGTCATTAATCTGACTGTCTTTTTCTATTTATTTATATATATACCAAATATGTTGGCTCTATCTCTGATATTGAACGCTTTCTAATAAGTACTGCGCATATAACATATAAATAATTATATATATATATATATATATATATATATATATATACTTTCACACACATATATATATATATATATATATATATATATATATATATATATATATATATATATATATATATATATATATATATATATATATATATATATATATATATATTTATATTTATATACACACACTTTTCACACACACACACACACACACACACACACACACACACACACACACACACACACACACACATATATATATATATATATATTTGTGTTGTGGGGGGTGCCAAATGAGATATGTATCTCCATAGCAACATTGGTATAGGTCATAGATTCAAATTAAAAACTAAAAAATTATAGAGAAATATAGATAAAGTATGTCAATGGCAAATAAATAATGAAATTAGATAAAATGAAATCAAAAACAAACATAAATACCACGCAAATGAAGGAATTAATATATTCTATTGTCGTATATTGTATTAAGTTATACCGCTACTCGTCCCCAATTTCGACACAAATTCAGAAACAGAAGTCATAAACATCTCTTCTTTCTCCTCCGCTTTCGTCTTCCTCTATCTATTTCTTTCTTTCTTTCTTTCTTTCTTTCTTTCTTTCTTTCTTCTCTCTCTCTCTGTCTCTCTCTCTCTTCAAATGTTTCGGTGTCGTTGATAACGTCGTATTTTCGTGAGTAGAAAAGGTGAATGTAACTTCCTCTTCGCTTTACAATAATCTTGGCAAAGAACAAGGTTAAGTAGTATCTTTACCTTCTCTGGAAAAAAAGAACTTTCTCTATTTCATGTATCCTGTTTTGTTCTTAACAACTTGGAAGCTTTACGTGAAGTAGAGGCTTTTGATTGAATCATTTCTTTTTTTCTTTCTTTTTTTCAGTTGATGTTTTCTTTCTTTCTTTCTTTCAGTTGATGTTTTCTTTCTTTCTTTTTCTTTTCTTTCTTTCTTTCTTTCTTTCTTTTTCATTTCTTTCTCTCTTTATTTCTTTCAGTTGATGTTTTCTTTCTTTCTTTCTATCTTTTTATTTCTTTCTTTCAGTTGATGTTTTCTTTCTTTCTTTTTCTTTTCTTTCTTTCTTTCTTTCTTTTTCATTTCTTTCTCTCTTTCTTTCTTTCAGTTGATGTTTTCTTTCTTTTTCATTTCTTTCTTTCAGTTGATGTTTTCTTTCTTTCTTTCTTTTTATTTCTTTTTTTTTCATTTTTCTTTCTTTCTTTTTTCTTTTCTTTCTTTCTTTTCATTTCTTTTCTCTCTTTCTTTCTTTCAGTTGATGTTTTCTTTCTTTTTCATTTCTTTCTTTCAGTTGATGTTGTGTTCGTTCGTTTGTTTGTTTGTTTGTTTGTTTGTTTCTTTCTTTCTTTCCCGTTGCTTTTTTCATTACTTTCTTTCTTTTTCATTTTTTCCGTCTTTCTTTCTTTCTTTCTTTCTTTCTTTCTTTCTTTCTTTCTTTCTTTCTTTCTTTCAGTTGATGCTTTCTTTCTTCTTTCTTTTTCATTACTTTCTTTCAGTTGATGCTTTCTTTCTTTCTTTCTTATTTTCTTTCTTTCTTTTTTTCTCGTTGCTTTTTTCATTACTTTCTTTCCTTTTCATTCTTCTTTTTTCTTTCTTTCTTTCTTTCTTATTTTCTTATTTTATTTCTTTCTTTTCTACAATCGGTATCTCTTTCTTCATCCTTTCCTTTCATGATTTGGCATTCCTTACCCCAGATTCCGTCTAGGTTATTCTCTCTACATTGCTTTCTTCCTCCTCCTCCTTCTCCTCTTCCTCCTCCTTATTCTTCTCCATTTTAAAAACATTTTTATGGGATTTGTGCCGCCCCTGCCACTGTGTTTCTTTGTTGTTGTTGATGTGTTTGAAAGCAAAGTAAACGATTGGTTAAAATATAGGTCGATACTGTGTCTTTTGAAGCCTTAACACTCTTCCCGCTTATTTGTTTATTTATTTATTGCTTAGCGGTGGGATAAATAGAAGTGTTCATTCGGGTTAAAATCCTGTCAGTGTAAATAAAACGAGAAACATTCAAATTCACTAAAGTTAATAGGAACAGACACAAGTGGCCCTGAAAACGGACGCTTAAAGCAAATTGCACAAAACGACCCACACCTAATAATAATAATCGTTGTCATTGTCATCATCAGTACCAATTATTGAATGTGGTTGTAGCGTCTCTGAGCGCATGACCAGTTCCCTCCATATATCTGCGTAGTGTGTCCTGAGCAAGTAGACCAGGCAGACCCCATCCCTCTCCATGTCAAACCGCAGCCGATGGCCATTAATCCCATTAGCTGAATACTCTATCATGGCTGTTGAATTCAGACTAGGAAACCCTTCACCAAGTGATGCCGTATCACAATCAGATTGGCTGAATCTATGGTTTAAGATCTCAGTGTACCTCACTGTGTTAGATGTTCGTTGAAACAGCAATAACGTTCAACCGTTTTTTGATGAATCTTATTTTTTTTTAAAATTCTGTTCACTTTAAAAGCCGATTCCGTTGTCGACAACTCAATCACACGGCAGTTAATACTAGATTATATAATATCAGTAGCAATTGTAGAGTGACCTGACATAAATACCTGTTAACAAAACCCTGAAAATCAAAGTAAACAATAAAAAAAAGATTAAAAAGTAACATGATTTTGTTTCTTCTATTTTGATACATGTATCTCTAATGTAAAGACGAAAGAAAGGAGCATTATGGGAAGACAACATAGAGACGAAATACATTATTAAATGTGTGGGTATTTCTTATTGCTTTTAGACAAATAGTAGCAACAATATAGCACAATAGTACTTATCCGGACATCTTATGACTGGGCGTTGACAAAATATGGTCGAATAATTTAAAATTCCTGATAATTTAGTACCTAACTTATTGAAAAAGAATGAAGAAAAGCGTCATTTTCTGAAAGAAATTTAACATTTAATATTAACAAATAACATTTTCAAATAATTTTGTTCAAGTTTATGTCTAGTTTTTTATATATATATATAAAATGCGTCAATTTTTGTGCTTCTTGCTGGTGTCACGTTATTCTGTCGCTAACTGAGAGTTACTATTGTTTGAAAGCGCATTTAACTTAGATATTTGTCAAATATAATTACTTCATTGTTTGAAATTGAAATTTTGAACGTTGGGTATGTTTTTTTTAATTCTCAAAAGGCTCGTTTGAGACGAAGTATTGGAACGCATTTATAGTTTTATCTAACGCAAGGAAAGTTAGTTCTCTGTATCGCGCCAGAAGTTGTTGTTCTTTTTTTGGTCTGAGTTCATCCTTCAGACCTTCAAATCTACCATTCGTCCATTCGAATACTATTGCCATATATGGTCTGGTGCTCCCGCTGTTCATCTCGGGGTTCTCGACAAAATCCAAAGACGGATATGCAATGTGATAGGTCCTGACCTGATATCTCGACTCCAGTCACTTTCTCACAGACGTGATGTGGCTTCCCTCTGTCTTTTCTACAAATATATTCATGGTAACTGCTTTAACGAGCGATTTTCGCTGGTGCCCCAACTGCATGAATTTAAGCGTGCTACTAGTTTGGCATCTCGGTCTCACCCTCTCACTATCGAAACAGTTAAATGTAACCGCCTCTTCTACTCAAACAGCTTCTTCTCTTGCACTTCCCGGCAGTGGAACTCCCTTCCTCTTACTTGCTTCCCTGATTCCTATAATCTTCAAATATATTGTAATATCAAATGACATCTTCTGATGCTTGATCTAGATCCCCGCCCTTGTTTTTATCCTTTTCTCAAACACGCCTCTTTACTCTTGTTCTCAATCCTCTGTAACCCTGTACGCGCTAGTGTCACTCCCGCCTTGCTTGGGATGAAATGCTTAAAAAAAAAAAAAAAAATGAACAATATTTAGATGATTTAAATTTTTCTTTCCATTTCACGTCCAGATAATCGAATTCCGAAAAATCAAACTACAGATAATCGAGGATGTAGTACATGTCAGAAGCTAAAAACGGATCGACTGCTTCGAAGGCAACCTCGCTGTTACACCACGAATGCTGATGTGTCTTGCTCAAGAGTGTGTCGCCTTAGTCTTCGAAATCTACCTTGTTTGTGTCGTCACTGTGATCCTGCCTAGTTGCCTTCGCACCTAATTTTGTCTATTTATTTATTTACGGTCGGTGGAGGTACGGTGGAGTATTGAATATCAGTAGGAATTGAGGAATCGGAGAACCGAGTTCGAATTTGTCCAGTCCATTGCATTCACTTACGTGCTAAAGGTATAAATCCATTTCTTTCTCATAGCTATAGGTAAATATTAGATCCACCTATACACCTAGGAGGAGGAAATCAAAATTGTTATAGTTGTCTGAATTTGGTATCTCCAATTTGTAATTTATATGTTAGGCTCTTCCGTTTTCTAACAACGATGTATTCTGTTTTCTTGCAATTAATCTTTAGTCCTTTCTTCTTTCTTCCCTTCACTACATTCTGTCGGGTGTCTTGTAGTTTGATTTTTGTGTCTGCTATCAACACTGTGTCATCTGCATATCTTATGTTGTTAAGATTGTGAGCATCAAGAACAATCTATTCTTCTCTGAATGGCTTACTGTATAGGTTGAATAAGTAAGACACATCCTTATTTTAGACTTCTTTCTATTTTTGTATATTTATTGAATACGTTTTTATCCGTATACATTATTTTAATATAATTCCCAAATAAGTCAAAGTGGCCTAGAAGCTCTAACAATTCTTTGTGAGGTAGTTTATCAGACGTTTTTGAATAATCTATAAAACATAGGTACACAGCCTTCTGCCTTTGTCATGCTTTTCTGGTATCATTCTGAGCATAGTTATCATGGATCTTAATTATGAGATCATAATATTCGTCAGGGAAATAGCGAAAGTAACGATAGATTTTGTTTGTGGGAAAAGGGTTGGCCGTTGTTGGATACAAATCAATTCATTACCCAAGCTCACATAGATGCTATCAAAACTGGAGAATGAGGACTGGGCAGCTCCAGGCCAAGCTTAGGAAGCGTACTTCATTTTTGTTCTGATGTGACTCTTTTAAATGTAGATCATGTCAAAAGGAGTTTGGTACTTACTGTAGTTATACATACACACACACACACACATACACACACACACACACATACACATATATATATATATATATATATATATGTGTGTGTGTGTGTGTATATAGATTACATATATATAGAGAGGTTACATATATAGGGAGTACATATATATATATATAGATTACATATATAGAGAGCGCATAGACTACTATATATATATATGTATATGTAGATTACATATATATAAACTACATATATATATAGATTACTTATATATAGAGTACATATATATATAGATTACATATATATAGAGTACATTTATATATAGATTATATATATATAGAGAGTACATAAATATATATATATATTACATGTATATAAGTACATATATATATATATATATATAGATTACATATACATAAGTATTTATATATATAGATTACATATATATATAAAGTACATATATATATATATAGCATATATATAGAGTACATATATATAGATTACATATATATAGAGTACCTATATATATAGATTACATATATAGAGAACACACACACACACACACACACACATACACACACACACACATATATATATATATAGAGAGAGAGAGAGAGAGACTACATATATGGCGTACATTTTGTTTTAGTTCTTAAAAAACGTCAACCCCAAAATGAAAATTCGATTTTACCATATATGCAATAAGTTTAACACAATCAAAATATTTCAGCAACTTCAGAGAGCCGAGTTCGAATTCAAGTCGAATCCATTACATTCACTTCCGTGCTAATATACCATTGGGAAAGGTATGATTCCTCTTCTTCTCCCCACTCAGCTATGGGTAAATAGCAGGGCAGACTGGGTTTTGTAGCCTTGCATGGCCACTGGTCTACCACAGAAAGAAATGGCTACCTACTGCGCGAAAAAATTTACCTCGTCAGTCATGCATCAAAAGATTCATGATCGCCTAAGCGTGAATCACGCATGGCACATAACTGACTGAATGATGTAATTGGATAGTATTTATGTATTTTTAAACGTATTTAACACTTTATAGCTATAGCATAACATACAAAGTTACAAATAAACAAAAACAAGTTCTAGAAGGTTCCATAAAGTACTAGATGGCTCCAGGAAGATCTAGAGGGTTCTAAAAAGCGCCAGGCACTCATAGTACTACTATACTTATGTACGGTTTTCGAAATTTCTTGTTGGGAGTGACATAAAAAAAAACTGAATTAAATCCTTCTTCATTATTTTTTAAGAATAGCTCATCGAATTATGATACAGAAAATCAATAATTCTACAAAATCAAAAAATCATGACCATATATATATATATATATATATATATATATATATATATATATGTAAATTTGTAAATTGATTGCACGTTTATCGTAATTAAAATAACTGATCCAAGTGCGACTTTTGGATAATAAGTGCGACATTACTGTAATTATTGAACAATATAGTTCATGCCACTTTGACAGAAAATTTACCAGTAAAAAATTCGTTCATCACCATATTTGTACATGAACGCACAACTTTAAAAAATTTAAAATCAAACTCAGCGTTGCTACTGCGCGCTCCAAAAACAATAACTCATTTCCAATAGCATTTTCGGATACAACAATACATATATTTTCGTTGTCCTCTTATTACTAAGAGAAAAAACAAGAACATCTCTTCTATACCTGACGATGTCTGTAGGAACAGACGAAAACTTGTAGTAAAAATAAGAACTAATACGGCAGAAATTTATAGAAACAAGGATCTTTTCATTCATAACGGATTCGGAGGTTTTTGTATATTATTTGAATTGTTTGCGACGATGGATTTCTCGCCAATTAAATCATTAACCTTTGCATTTGTTTTTGTGTGAATAATTCATGAATATATATATATATATATATATATATATATATATATGTATGTATGTATGCATGTGTGTGTGTGTGTGTGTACATATTATATATATTTAGGTAGCACATATCCCTTTAAACAGGTGGTAGTAAATTCAACTGACAAGATCTGTTTAATTTTTATTATACTTTTCCAAAATTAAAATAAGTTGTACATCTCTATAAATATTGTAGATAAACTGCTTAACGTTCCTGTTCTTGCATGAGTAATTTCGTCTATCTCGGTCATTATCAGGAATAAAATGTTATCAGTTTCAGAGAAAAATAGTTGTCAAGTACATCCTGGCATATTTGAACATGTCAAGTTTAGAAATACGCATAGTGTTTAAGTTAGACGGCTTCATTGGGCTTGGCACAACTCAAAATAATTATGTTAACATATTATACATATGGAATTATTTACATGATGGAAATGGTAATATTAGCCGTTTCCTTATAAGGAAACATCCAGTAATTATTGACTGAGCAGCCAGTTCTACTGTCGGTTATAGTTTATAAAATATTTCTTTTAATACAATTTTAGAGGGAAAATAAATTTCTCAAATCCGCTGTGATTGCTCTTTCCAGTATAAATAGGGATTTCCTTACTATCCTTTTGTCTAAAGTAGTGTGGAATGTCAACATCTTGATTATGTTATTATTTTCTCTTCGAGTTACATATGATATTCATTATTAGTTGTTGCAAAGTTACACACAAAGAAATTTTTTACTAGATGAGCTGACGTTCTTTGCACTTAATGTAAAGCATCAGCTCATGTTAGGAGGTTTATATAGTCTTTAATAATTTTCCTGCGACATTAGCTTCACGCAAAAAAACTTGCTAAAAACTTTGAGAAAATCGGGTTCTTCATACTACCCAAAATAAAAACTTGAATAACCTCCTCAATTTTTATCCAATTTACTTTAAAAATGTCGCAAAACATTTGCCATCATGCAAGAAATGAGGTAGTGTGGTTTTAGCTCTGCTCATTTCCCACGTATAACGAAAAACTGATAAAAAACCCGTTTTTCGGCCATAACTCACTAGTTTTTCATCCGATGCTTTGCAAATTTGCCATGTAAATTACATATGACAAATAAATTGTCTTGCCTGAACTTTTGGTTTAGATTATTTCAGTTAAGTGGATGAAAACTGCGCAACTAGGTCGAAAATCGGCATTTGTCATTTAGCCAATAGTTTCTTCATATGATTCCATCTTAAATTGACATTCGAACAACCTTCATGCAAAGAGTATTTGAGAAGGATTATTGAAACGTTAAAAGGGGAAAATTCCCGAAGAAACTCTTATTAACTCCAGCTTTACAGTAAACGTGCCAAGAAGCGTTTGGGGGCGTTCATGCGTTTGCACTTGCAGTTGACACAAACCCTGATGTTTCATCACTGTTTTTCCTTCATTATTAGATTTGTGAACAATGCCATACTATTTGAAATTTATTACAACCTTAGGAAATTTACTGAATGTCTAAAACATTGAAACAATTTAACCCCGAGCAACGGCCACACAAGAAAGGTTTTATTGATGGAATTAAGAACAATCAAACATACCATAAAAAAGATGAGTTGGGAGAGTAGATTAGTATACCAACGAATGATGCATGCAAGCGGGGACGCAGGCAGACATTACTAGACAGGGGGTGCGGTTATACAATTGCAGCCATGTACACACGGGCAACGGCGGCATCTAGACAGGTATATATATATATATATTACTTCTAAAGATATTATAGTGAATAATTGTATTTGAAATAGACGCTCTATCATTTTTTTTTACTTTGAACAGTGCATGTTACGTCTGTCGGTTCGCCTTTTCGAGAAATCTTAATAAAAGAAAATATGTTCCCCGATAGGGATTGAACCTGCTTCGCTCTTTGTAGGAGAAACCATCGTTGGATCCAGCGTGCTTTACCTTATATATAGCGAGAAGTCTCACGTTACATCTCTCTGACTATTGCTCAATTAGGCTCCATTTAAACACACACAGAAACTTAGCAAATACCATCCACAGCACACTTGTATAAAATACAAGGATATTAGCCTCATGCACATGTAAAGATGACTAAAATAATGAATGCACTAAAAATAAAATAATCTAAAACTCAATAACATCAAGTACGAACACGGCCACAATGTGCTGGCCGTGTTTGGAAGATAAAGCATTCCTATAACTGTAGATACATACATAAAGAAAATCCATATAACTATTATCAATAATGGCTAAAATAATACCCGAATGCGCTCAGATATCAAGAACATTTGAAAAGTTTTTACATTTTACGCCCAAAAAAGAAAACACTTATGCGAAGACAAGAAAAATTAAATAAGAAGCTTAATTGCAGTAATTTGCACTACTTAATAATACATGTATAAAAGAGAGATTGCTACCCAAATGTCTGTGAGCGTGTTAATGTAAATGAAAATTCTTTTTTGTTATTTCTGTTATCCTCATGCAATAAATGTGTCATATATCAAGAAGGAACGAAAACTGAGTAACCATTATTAATTTTTTCGGAGTATTTCTAACATTTTAATTTTAGTTGCCTTTCTAAATAAATAAATAGCAATTAGAAACTAATCATGGTTGACAATGTTTCATCTAATAAAAAAGTCATGATAATAATACTATATTGGGTGTTGGTATGAGATAAGCATTAAAAAAAGAAAAAAAGAAGAAATCTCCGCCTGTCTGTCAACGGCTTTCTTGGTATGGGCGTGTGCAGATGATATGACAGGCCCTTGTGTCTATGGTTTGAATCCCGTCCTATCTAGCTTTCTGTTAAGAATTCTTGCAATGAATACGGAAGGCGAAATCACATATCCCAAATTGGGGCAGTACAACACAAAAAGCCAAAGATACACATAAAAAAGATATACAAAAAAAATAAAAATACTCATAAGAAAATGTTGACCTCAGGGTTTCCACCATAACGTAGTTAACGATCTAAAAGCTTATTAATAATACTTTTTGTGTAAGATTGATTTATTTTTTACGGCTTATCAACCTTTTTCAGGTTATTAAAGGCAGACGATATTTTTAGACTGTAGGGATATTTTTAAAGATAGTAATAAGTTACTGATACAAATCCTACTAATTAATCCATAGCTAAGGGGGAAAGAGTTGGATCCAGTTTTTCCGAGGCTATTTGCGCGTATGTGAAAATAACGAATCCGAATAGAATTGGGACTCGGCTATCCGATTTAAAAATTCTGAGCCGTTATACAAAGACCCCACCACCCCGCATCACAAAGCTTACGGAACCTGGTATTCCGAAGCAGGTCACTCATCTAGGTACTGACCAGGCTTGACATTGCTTAACTTCGGTAATCGTACGGGAACCGATGTTTCGACGTTATATGGGGGTAAGCCGCATTATTAATGCGCGATTAGATGCCCGCCTTAGACAATTATTTAGCGACAATTCTGTTGGCAACACGAAGCCCTATTTGTTTTTTTTTCCTTAATTATCATTTACGCGCGCAAACACTCACACACACACACACACACACACACACACACACACACACACACACACACACACATATATATATATATATATATATATATATATATATATATATATATATATATATATTTATGAAAAAATGACAGTAGGAAAAGTAATAATTGCTGACGCGTTTCGTCCAATTTGAATGATATTTATTCGTACAAAAAGTACAAATTGTGGCACGAGGCCAATAAAGGGGATGGGTAGAGGCTGGTCAACACTAACTATCTTATACCTAGCTAATCAGATTCGCGACCCATTCAAACATTACATTTTACCCATTCACCAAAAGAACTCGTCCATCACCAAACAATCCTTCAACCACCATAATACCACGTGCTCTCAAGGGAGACCTACCATAATCGCGCCCCATGCCGTAAAAATTTTAATGATGATATATATATATACAATTCTAATAATTTGGACTTTATCAAAGCAAAATACGAAAATGAATTTAAGTGAACAAAGTAACTAATAAAAACAAAAACAGAATGTACCGAGAAACTGGAATGTAGAGAAACGCTATTTTCATATTGTTAACTGAATTTGTCACATGTGGAGAATATTGTCATTATATCTGTGTTAATTTATTCAACCATTTTCTTTTGATTTTATGAATCTGTTGTGTATATTTGTTTGTGAGAGCAGTAATTTTGTTAATATTCTCCACACGTGACAAATACTGACGATAATTTCAGTTAACAATATGAAAATAGCGTTTCTCTACATTCCAGTTGCTAGGAACATTCTGTTTTTGTTTTGATTAGTTACCTTGTTCAATTAAATTCATTTCGTATTTTACTTTGATAAAGTCCAAATTGGACGAAACGCGTCAGCAATTACTAGTTTTCCTATTGTTATTTTTAT